ACAATGGAGCGCGCTCTGCTGGACAAACTAAGTAGTTACACCATTTCAAGCATTTTATCTGCGTTATATGTTCTTTAAAAAAATGTTCATATCGGCAGCATATTCGGCGATACCGATATATCGGCAACAGGCTCATATCGGCCGATAATATCGGCAAAACGATATATCGGACGGGCTCTAATTTTCATATCTCAAAAATGGCACTGAAAGCACAGAAGCTCAGCCAGAGGCTTCTATTCACAAATCTAATTTTTGTTTTTGTATATACATTGTACGGATGTTTTGAATATACAGACCTCTTCAGCAGCAGGAGCACAGAATGAGCCGTACTAGCATCCAGACCGGTGGTGGGCTCGTCCAGAAAGAGCACAGAGGGGTCTATGATCAGCTCCATCCCAATGCTGGTCCTCTTCCTCTCGCCACTTGAGATACCTCGGATCAGCTGCGTACCCACCTGTACAGATTTACGCGTACATTTATGGTCGACATGCTTTGTAATGGGATTTTAGTGAGGCTGTTTAATATTTGACATGAAATCTCAGGCAGTTTCAGCAGTTTCTTATATGCTAGAATTCATTTTTGTTTTTATGACCACATATTATGAGGGATTACATGGATAGCCTGGACGAGAGATACGGTTTCACCTTTGTATCAGCAACTTTGTTGAGGCCCAGCTCTGAGATGAGGTGGTTCACTCTTGCCTCCTTCTCTCTTGGACTGATTTGGGAAGACAAACGTAGTGCAGCTGAGAAACTGAAGTTTTCTCTCACCGTCAGAGTCCCCATCACTATGTCATCCTTAACACATACACACAAATGTTGTAGACAATGTATTGATATGGTAAGCAAGGAAACTTAATTCAGAATCCCAATGTACTGTCCTATACCTTATAAGCACCTTTTAAGATGGCATACTGTATGAACTCATTTTAATCTAATGTTTTAATACGGTGCTCATATCATGCATTGTACCTGGACAACATAACCAGAAAGACATTTGAAATTAGGTGGCTGTAGGGCTCCATTGATGAGAACTTCACCAGAAAGACCTGCAGGATCCTTCCGGGCAGCGAGTACATCCAAAAACCTGAAAGAGAGGGAGGAGAGAACTCCATTTGAAGATGATAATAATGTTTCATTAGCATTCATCTAATTGATTCCGCATTACTGGAGGAAACCGTCAGGAAAGACGCTTAAAAAGCTTGTTAAACAAATCCGGAATCCATCTTATTAAGATGTGTAGAAGTCAAATATGTACTCACGAAGATTTGCCACTTCCCGTATTTAATAGCATTTAAACCAGGTCTCATGATCCCACTGAAAAGGGAGATAAAAATTAGATTATGTTATGTTAGATGAATGCTAATGAAACATTATTATCATCTTCAAATGGAGTTCTCTCCTCCCTCTCTTTCAGGTTTTTGGATGTACTCGCTGCCCGGAAGGATCCTGCAGGTCTTTCTGGTGAAGTTCTCATCAATGGAGCCCTACAGCCACCTAATTTCAAATGTCTTTCTGGTCTATGTTCATGTCACTTGCTCTGGAATTCATCAGGCGCTGTGGAAAAAATTAGGCACACCTATTGCACAGATATTGTTGTGCTAGTCTTAACGTAGAGTGCCATGAGCAAATGCTGCTCATCCTAGCAATGAATTTGAATGTCACTGCATTGCTGACAAGACACTTATGAGATTTGAAATGGTTACCAAACTATAAGACTGTTAAAACTAAGTCATCTAGGTGACGCCAAGTCTTTTATTAGATCAAGATCACACTTGACCGCATTTAACCTTGGTGATTTGCAAGCCAAGAGATCAAGAGATAGACTCACAAAGCCATTTCATAATATCATATAACTGACACTAACACTATAGAGAGAATGTCCAAAGAAACTATGCACTTGGCTCTGGGAAATGTCAAGCTCATTTAATGCCTTTAGAAGCAGCATTTTGGTTTTCTGCTCTCCATTGTTCTGGTGAACACATGTTATGCAGCACATGTAAAGGTAAAAGGGTTTTATAAAGCCTCATGCCACAGGAGAATTTGATGTCACAAGAGAGCTTTTGTATGTTTCATATGGCATAGGAGAATTTTCTATATTCCTGTGAGGCCGTAATAGAACTTTAAAAATCAATAGATGCCATTGTACAAAGGTTTTTTTTTTTATGACAAGGACCCCCAAATATGATAATCACATTGTGAGGCAAATATATTTGCAGTACTATTTAAAGAAAGAGAAATGCCTTTTTTTTTCTCCACAAAACTTCTGATTTATTTTTTATTCGGATTTATTTATAAACTAGGTTGTCAAAAAAAGAGCTACAATGAATCAAATGATTTCTGACCAGTGTTTCAAGAGGACAATACTACTACTGCCATAGCAAAACCTTTTTAAACTCCTATGTCTTCATAGAAGTTAAGTTCTTTTGATGTCATAGGAGAACCTTTTTAAATTCTTATGTTGTCATAGAAATGAAGTTTGAATGAGGTCATAGGAGAACCTTTTTAAATTCTTATGTTGTCATAGAAGTTAAGTTCTTTTGATGTCTCAGAAGAACCTTTTTAAATTATGTTGTCATAGAAATTAAGTTTGTATGAGGTCATAGGAGAACCTTTTTAAATTCCAATGATGCAATAAGAATATTTTAAAGCTTCCTCTGTTATTGAATACTTCAATAGAACTACTATAATGATCTAAAAAAGGTTTATAAGAACATTAGAAGCTTAACTGAAAAACATGATGTTGCAGAGGCCCAACGGAACATGAACCTTTACCAGGTTAAAGAGACTTATTAAAGAGGCTTATTAATTTGACCTTTTTCTTTGTGTGATATTGACTCGAGATCCACCAGAATCTTTATGGACTGTTGTCCTCCTGCAGATGGGTCCGCCCTTCTGTTCCACTCTATAATGGATGCTGTGGAAACTGACAGTGGCTCCATGTTGCTTCTTCATGAGCTCCATGCCGATGATATTTGACCCAGACATCCCATTTCTGCCCGTCTCCTCAGTGATTTGATCATGCTCAAAGACAGCATTGTCAGTCATCTTCTGTCAGGCTTTCTCCCTTAGAAGACATACACAATATAAAAAAAGTAATATGCTTGATTTGTATCAGGATCATGAATTCTACCTCTGCCCTACCTAACCAGGAAGAACATTGTAAGAGAATTTAGTAAGTTTTAATTATTTTTCAGATACAGTGAAAATGTTCAATAGCATTTTGTAGCATAGGCTTTAAGGAATGTGTCTTTACCAGAAATATTCAAAAATAAAACTATCCCATTAAAGTGTGACAACTAGTCCCAGTTTCTCCATATGTATCTTTGTATTTTTATATTCCAGTGTATCATGCATAACACTTATATTGCCATATAATTTAAATAAATATATATTGCCGTTTCTTTTTAACTATTTGTGAACTCTGTGAAAAAATAGCAAATTCTACACCAAATGTTTTTCAATGTAGGTGCAAAAACAACAGAAACGTTACAGTGTTGCACTAAACTAAATATTGCACAACCTTCAATTTACAGTATTAATACAACAAAGATGCTTACCCTCCTCACGTTGTTGCAGTGGACGTCTTGGGGTTATGCTGTTTTCAGGAGTATCAGTTGGGGAAAAAAATACAAATCTGACTGCTTGAGGAGGTGAGGCAGAGATCTTATATCGATGGAGCAGAGGGAGGGATTTGGGCAAAGGCATCAGTTTTTAAACCTCCACTGAACATTCTCCTGTATTACATTTACTGGGACACAAAATATAACGTTAAATTATTCACACAACAGCAAGACATCTTTTCAACTTAAAGCTGCAGTCCGTAACTTTTGGCGCTCTAGCGGTTAATAAACAGAACTGCATGCGTCTTGCGGAAGAACATTGTAGCCGGAGCTACTTCTCTCTGTTTATGTCTATGGCGAATCACGCAGGTACTGGGTTACTCCGCAGCGGTACCTACCCGAACCAGTCTAAAATAGTCCGAATATAAACATTTATTATAGGTATACCGTAGGGATTCTGGATAAGCGAAAAACACGGTTTGGAAAATGGATTCATGGTGTACTCGATTATTATATACATTTTGTTAATTTTGAACACAAAAAAAGCTACGGACTGCAGCTTTAAGATTATAGGCCTAGAAACATATATGCTTTTAGTTGTAAGTAAATAATAATAAAAAAGAAATTGGTTGGGATTACACTTTTGATGGCCCCTTGGATTTAATAAATAGTAGATTTGACAACACGTAAACAGGCAAAAATAAATCATGTTTATCCAACAAAGATGTTTCTGGTTAAACTTTATTCACAGCTGCATTATATTTCACAATAAACTGCATATCAATAAAGCAAAGTTAGGTCCATGTGTAGAGCAGGAAACACTTGCAGTTGTTTTACAGATTGTTCTAGGCAAGATCCATGAACAGTTGTATTAACACTAAATATAATACCTTCTGACAGAAACATAATAACTGAAGAACAGTACATACAGAAATAAAAGACCACTATCATACTGGATGTGCTTTTGGACCTTAAAGAGGAAGACATTAAAGGAAAAAGGCTGTTAAAAGTCTAAAATGATAGGAAATGCAGAATGAGAATGACAAGAGTGTTCAAATCAATTCAAGAAACAGCATCAGAATATGAACAGATCCACTGAACCGAGATGCCGACTTGCTGAAGTCACACGTGTATGGCTCTACAAATAAAAATCACTGGAACTCAAAGATTGTGACAGAAGCCTTTCCCATTAAAAGCTTTAGGTTTTAAAGTTATAGCAGAAAGGCTGCAATTAAAACAACAATGTCAGCGAATGAATGAATGAAACTCACTTTTCTGCTTTAACTAGGAGACTTAGAAGAAAATATGTATTTAAATATAACATACAATCGCATATACCATAGAGTTAACTGTCCATCATATACATTATATAAATAACATAAAACAAATGTCTGGACTTTGCGCTATGCATTGTCGGGAACACCACTGAACTGTACAATCTGAACAAAAATAGTTTGTCTAGTAACACTAAACAAGCACAAGTCACAGTTTAAAACTTCAGTTATGAACCTAAAGTTGAGTTCCTTACTAGAACGACTCAAGCATGTCAGAAAACAACAGATGTTTATGGAAAAGGCACAGGAAAACCATCAATTAATTTGCAAAATGGTCTTCAAGTTGGGTTGCGAATTCCCTTCAGTAGGAATATTTCTTAGAGTAGCTTTAAAATTGCTGGTTGTTAAGCCACATTTTGAACAAGAGACAAAGTTATAGAAATATGTGCTTCCACAAGGAATTGGAGTCCATACTTCAGTATACACTGTATGTAAATATGGGCTTATGAATATGCACAGCCATCAGACAAAGCCTGTATAGACCACTGAAATGTGCTTCTGCGTGCTGCTTAACATTCGAAGATTAGAGTTACGAGGATTACAAAAATAATGGAACCTTCCCAAATCTGAAAGTGCTTAAAATTCCTGTTCAGAAAATGAAATGAGATTCACAATAACATTACGGAGAACAGTTGTTGATTCCACTATTTTAAAGTATAGTATCTGCGAAAGTGAAAACCAGAACTGAGGTAACCAAATGAAAGATAGCACCACAGGTTAGGAGCTAAAAGACAAGGATAAACTCAAACCTCAGGGGAACTTGAACTCCCAACGGTTCAGAAATTAACAATGCTTGATTTGCTTCTCTAGGCAACATAGTATCATTCTGATGAGTCAATATCAACTCCACATTAAATGTGGGTTCTGGCTGTAATGGTCCTTTTTTGAGGTGATCCTCACAGGAGGGATTAGGAGAATATTGCACATTGGTCAATTCAGACTAGGGAGCCACTTCTGTGTATCAGTTAAACCGTCATTGTCTTATTATTTCTGCTTAGGCCCAGCGGCCACTTGAGACGAAACTGCGACTGAAGGAGAAGCTCACGTCAGAGCTGTTGTGTTTGCCCCAGGCACCGAACGGCACCACAATGATAGTGCTGTTGTCTTCAGCTCCATATTGAAGAGCCTGAGAGGGACAGAAGAGTTCGACGAGGAAAAAAACCAATAAAGTTATAAAGCAAATCTTATGCATGTTTAAACCTGCCACACGCACCCACAATAAAGACAAGAATCAATGAAACTGCATGTAGTTTTATATCATAGTAATAGCACACATCACACTATAGTTGATTTTGCTGGACATTCAAACAGTGGTTCAGAAATCAAAATTACCAGGAGGGATTTTTTTTATTATTTGTGTCCTTTTTGTAAACAACCTAATGAATCAACACTTTACAAATGAAAGGTTCTTCATCTCATTTGATCACTTTCTCTTTTTATTTTATTTGGAACTGCTACAAACTAAAAGACAAAAGGCATCATCTAAATATCTGGGGTAAAATTAGCCATCATTGAGCCCTTTGTTTCTGAAATTAATAATTAGAACATATACTAAAAAATAGTGGTGGATGTTGGATTATATGACTAACCTGCTCAGATATGCGTTGTGCGGCCTCTTTAGGGTCGTTACATTGGTTAATGATGTCACAGATCTCCTGACTGTTCATGATGAAGTTGATGCCATCAGTGGTGAGTGCCAGAAAGGAGTCGTGGACGTGATGCAACTGACAATACAGGCAGACTTAAATCAATACAACTTAAATTAAAATATAATTTAGTAAAATATTTAATAAATATTTAAGGCTACGTCCACACGAAGCCAGAGCTTTCCCTATCCAATCTTTTTTCCCCCTTGTCTCAAGAAATATCTGCGTCCACACGAAACCATGAAACCGACACAAAACGATGTAGTATACATGCCAGACCAGTATGTGGCGCTGTAATTCTGCCACAGAGATACACTAAAAATGGAGAAGACTTGGACTATGTGCATGAACCTTGCGCGCGGTATACAAACGAACATGGAACAATACATTTATTAATCTGTGTTAATGTTAGTTAATAAAAAGACAATCGTTCAGTGTTTGTTCATGTTTTTGTTGCTGTTACGTGACGTAGCGGTGTCTGACTAGGATCGAGACGTGGGCTGATGACGTCATCGTTTCAGAAAATATACGGATTCGCTGTCCACACGAAAACGCAAGGGCGGCGTTTTCAGATTTATCCACTCTGGGACCCGGTTTCAAAAAAATACCGGTTTCACTCTCCCAAAACGCCGAATCCGTGTGGACGAAACACCTATACGATACAAAATGTATACGTATGCAGCTAAACGCGTCTCCGTGTGGACGGGGCCTAAGTTACATTGAAAAATGTATTACAAGTATTTATTTATAAATAAAATAAATAATTGTATTATATTTATTTTGTTTTGTAATTATTATTTTTTTTTAATTATATTTAAAAATATTGACTCAAAAAGTAAAATTGTGTGTTTGTATATATATATATATATATAAATTCAATAGTCAGTAATTTACGTAAATAACAACATGGTAATTTTAATTTATATTATGGTAAAAATACGTTGTCAATACATTCTGAATATGTAAAAAAGTGAATTTCAAAGAAAAAGCTCTCACTGAAATTCTCTTAGTCTCTGGTTCTGCAATGACACCTGATGTCTTGAGGTCGAAATCTCCAATGCTGCGTGTCATGGCCAGTCTGCCATTGACGTGTGGTTGACCAAAACTATTCCATGTAATAAAACCTCCAGTCTTGCGTATCCTTCAGAAACAAACACATGGTGTTCAAAAGACATGCACTCACAGTGTCTCAATCTGCTTGGAGCACTTAGGCTAACTGCACCTCTCTTTTTCATCCTTTCTCTCAGGCGTGTGATCCACAGTGAGTTTGAGGGCCTTGCCTTTGCGGCACAGCATGGCTCGGCTGTCCCCCACGCTGCCCACCACCAGCTCAATCCCGTCTCTCAGCAGGGCCACTGTGGCCGTCGTCCCTGCACTCAACAGAGAGGCTGTAACACACCAGAGAGCGAGGTAGAATGGTTAGTTTGTGATGCGGTCACAGAAACAGTAAGACACGCAATACGGAGTTTGCATCTGTTACAGCACAATCACACACAGAAATTAAACAGCTATTTACTCTTAATCCTGTTCTGAGATTTGCATGTAATTCTAGTGTACTATACTATGCAATACTGTGCATATTTATGAGATATGTACACACTGTTTTGGTAATCAAGCATCTGATAAAAACAAATGTAAACTGAAACAAAAAAGAGGGAGTTTCCAAAAGAGATGATGTACTTGAGTGGTCAAGGCAAGCAGGTAGCATTGTACCTTTTTGACTATCTAAAGCACATAGGACACGTTAGAAAAATGAACACCATTGTTTAGGCAAAACATTACGCTTAGCATTGAAAAAAGCATTAAACAGCATAAAAGCAACTGATTTTAAGAGGCACATCTCTTTTTAGAAAATAGCATTTCTTCACTTAAAAATTACTCCCACAGTAAATATATTGTGCTTTTCTCTGACATCAACTAAAACTAGCATTATCCATACACAAAAAAAATAAATAAATAATAAATAATTGAACACAATGACTAATCAATTCTTTTCCAGCAACCAACACATGTGAAGAAGGCAGAGCACAGTGAAGAGAGATAAAGAGAAAGACAGAAAGGAAAGAAAGAGAGAAACGTCAGGAACCTTCCAAAAGTCCACGCAAGGACCCGCTGGAGCAATCTAACCCTCCGGCCTCCATAAAGGTACCGCAGAGCTGCAGCTCTTATAGGGGTAAGCTGGGTCCGCGGCTGTTGTAAATAACACGCACACACACAGGGCAAGATTGGACATGTCACGCAGCAGGCCACACTAGTGGGCTGCACACTACATGAATATGATGGACCTGGCATAATCCTATTTATTCTATCACAACAGCATTTAAAATACTTAACACAGATGAATCTAAAAAAAAAAACGTTTTTTTAACTATGTGCTAATATTATATACTAAAGGTGGGATTTAAAAGTCATCTTTGATGCTATTTAAATTCAAGGTGATGCTATTCCAAATAATTCCTGATGCATCAATTTTTCAGCAACAGCATTGGGTGCAAATCTTTACTATATTAAAATGGCTGGCTTATAGGCTAAATGTCTGTTAAGATGAACAGAAATGGAATAAATGAGTATAATAACTTAAAAGTTTAACTCAATAAGTAAAGTTTGTTAATATCAATTAGTGTGTGTAATTTTTCAGCCTTAAAATACAAATAGAAGAAAACAACAATGAAAATATAAACAAATAATTCCTATTATCAATTGACAAAAGTTCTGAGTGCCACAGCACAGATATTCGACTAGTTACGTCAACTGCCCAGTTGCAAGCAGAGAAAAGGAGCAAACATTTTCACTAAAATATTAATTTTGATAACACACTTGTTGTTTCTTGTCAAATTTGTTTAGCAAATATTTTTTAGGAAAATCATTTAGGAGGATATTTTTATAAGAACAGCAGCTATATAGGACTATTTTTTTTAACCCACCCCTAGTATACACAAGCATGTTAAGTGCTATCTATGTCGTGATGGATGCATTTTACAGAGCCAGAGAGAAATCTGTGAACTATAATGACTATAAGGTTTTCACTGCTCCGTATTAGGGATCATTGTTTATTTTATTTTATTATATATATATATATATATATATATATATATTGTGCA